CCATTGGGGAGTTCGGTGGAGCTCCCTACGGAGCTACGGAGGGGTTTGCCGAAATGGGTCGGTCGCGCGAACGCATGTCAACCCTGTCACTGGCGCCTTCGGTGGAGCTCCCTGTGGGGGCACGAAACGTGTGAGGGGTGTGTCGAAGTGGGTCGCTATGGTGTGCACAGGAGCTGTGGTGCGCACAGATCCTGCTGCTGTAGCATGTGTGGTGCACACGGTCACTCTTGTGTGCACAGGCGTTGAAGGGTTCACGTATGTTGTTTGGTATGCACAGCATACCTCGGGCAGGGAATAATGAGTAGCTGCAGATAATTTGCACATGCTGCAAGCAAAGGGTGTCGAAGCAGCAGCTGTGGCGCACACGGACGATGCAGTGTGCACAGGCACTGGTGCACGCAGGCGCTGTGCGTTGGTGCACACAGGCGGTGTGGTGCACACATGCGTTGTGGCACACAAAACGAATATTGTTGCTGCAGCAGCTGTAGTGTACAAAGGCTTTGTGGTGTACGCAGTCGTTGTTGTGTACCTCGGCCATGGTGTCTAAAAATTATGCTGTGCACAGGCCCTGTGGTGTACACAGGCCTTGTGGTGTACGCCGGCGCCGTGCAGGTGTGAACGGGGTGTGGTATACAGAGGCAGCATGCAGAGCGGTGTGAAGTAGCACTGTGGTGTACACCGACAGCGTGGTGTGAATGCGCACTGTGGTGCATGCAAGCACCTGTGCGCACAAGCGCTGTTGTGCACATGTGCCTTGAGGTGTACACAGGCGTTGCGGTGCTCACCGGCACTGTGGTTTGCACAGGCATCGTGGTGTACAGAGGCGCTGGTGTACAGAGGCATTGCTATTCACACCGGCCCACTGGTGCACGCAAGTACAAATCCTTACAGTGCCGTTTTCAATACATGCTCCGCGTGCGGATCATGTATTAAACATGCAGGCGTTTGGTATTAAAAACAACGATGAGTTCATGCATAAATTTGTTCATAAATTAATCATGTATTTTAAATCCTACATCTTTCAAAATCCTATGTATTAGAAGCAGCCCTGTACTGATATGTTAATCGTAGCGGTCCTTTGTTCTTTCATTGCTTCGCTCATTCCGCTGGCCCATATTGGGCCACTGTTGCTATATGTGTTGGTGTGACCATGGCGAGTGAGAAGGAGGATCGGGATTCGATAAGGGAGGAGGAGGAGGAGGAGGAGGAGGAGGAGGAAGAGGAGGAGACAGCGGAGGAGGAGGAGGAGGAAGAGGAGGAGGAGGAGGAGGGGGACGGTAAGGGGACAAAAAAATGGAACCCCTTCGTCTTCGGCCCCGCATTCGCCCCCCCCCTCCCCCCAATTTCAAAGTTGGGTTCGGCCTCTCGGAGGCCCTGGGGGTTTCATTTTTTGTATCCTCTCACGCCTGTGCTGCCAAATGCTTGAGGCCAACTTTGAAATTGGGGGGAGGGGGGGCGTGCTGTCAAGGGTTCTACCTTTTTTGTCCATCTACGGGAGGAGCGGAAGGAGGGGGAGGAGGAGGAGGAGGAGGAGGAGGAGGAGGAGGAGGAGGAAGAGGAGGAGGCGGAGAAGGAGGCCTCTCGGCGGCTTCTTTGGCCACTGTTGGGACCAAACTGGGTCGCGGACAAGACGCGGGCTTGGAAGGCTTCTTAGGGATCTCTTGGGAGGCCTCTCGGGGGCCTCTTGGTGGCATTTTTGGGACGTCCTGGGGCCCCTGTGAGGCATCATTTTTGCGTCCAGCTGCCTATTGAGGGCGTCTTGGGAGCTTGCTGGCGGTCTCGGGAGACAACTTTCGGGGAAGGCTCGACCTGTCTGTTCGGGTTCCTCCACTTGGTGCCCTCATGGGAGCCTCTGGAGCCCTCTGGGAAGGACTCTTGGGCCGTTTCGGGGCCCTCTTGGGGCCGTCTTGGGAGCTTCTTGGGCTGACACGAACCAAGTGTAGTCCATGTGGTGATCGATGTTCTCGTCCAGCTCCTCCTGTTGATCTCAAGTACGTTGGCGGTGCCTCTCCGATGAGGCGTTCTTTGGCAGCTTGAAATGGCTGGAGGTCGAGGTAGGGCGAGCTGTTGGGTCGCATTCCGAGCGTGCACGTCAGTATCACGAAGGCTTAGGCGACCGACACATGAAGATCTGGCACCACCCATGTTATTGCATGGTCATTCGCAACTTTGTTTGGCCATTCGCTCCAACCCATGGTGTGAAAATATGCCTGGGAAGATACCCCGTCGAATGAAATGCGCCTTGACCGCTGGAATGCACCAAACGAGCCAGTCAGCTTCAGCACCGTACAGTCGTTGATCACAGCCCCAACATCGGCATGTAGCTGCATCTCCGCTCTGATGTAGAAGGATGGGCCATACGAGGAGGCACAGGGCGGGAAGCCTGTCGGAGTCACTGGGGGACAGCAAGGCCAGGAGTTTCCTCTGACGCAGCTGGCAAGGCCTAGAACTTGTGAGCTTGAGGGTTTGGATCCCTCTCCGCCTTCGAGGTCATGACCGTGCGTACGGTGAGGCCGATTGCCGAGCCCCCCTTTGTCCCGCCCTTGACCTTCGTGGCCTCCGCCATTGCCTCGCACAGCTCCTGGGACTGCGTCGAAGTGGGGCCAGGCATGCCCTCGAGCTCCCGCGTGGCACCAACCTGGGTCGGCGCGATGGCAGGATTCACCCAAAGCCACCCCCATGCCTGAGTCGGCCCAGGAGTGGGCCTCCATTGTGAAGCCAACGCTGACGGATGTGAACACGGTAAAGCTGGAACTCGCAATCGCCGTTGATATAGTAGTGTTGGAATTCCCAGAGGTCGTGGATACTGTAGTGCTGGAACTCTCAGAAGTTGTGGACCTGGTCGCGCCGGAATTTGCAGTGGTCGTCGACTGCGTCGTGCCAGTGAGAGTCACAGTGGTGGAAGAACTTGCAGTCGTCGTCGACACCGCTGAGGTGGCGGGAGGGGGGCTCGTGTCACGCTGCACCGCCAGGGGGAGAAGCCACCTGTCACGGGCGGCAGCAGCCCGGCAGCCCCGCCTGTTGCTTGTCGCGGGCGTGGGATCCTTCTTGTTTCACTTTCTGGTTCCGGATTGGGGTTGTTTGATCGCCACTTCCCGCCGCGCAGGTTGGGACGCTCGGGGAAAAAAAGCTTGTCGCGGGCGTGGGAGGCGTTAGGGCAGAAGGTCCCGCGGGCGGCGTGTGGCAACGCATCTGAACCACGGCCCGGTGCACCTGCTGCCTCCGTAGTACCACCCGTTGGCTTGTGGCTTGCAAGATGGGCACGTTTTCCACCGCATGCAGGACGGGGGAGAAGGGAGGATGAGGAGGTCCTCCTCCTCCTCCTCCTCCTCCTCCTCCTCCTCCTCCTCCTCCTCCTCCTCCTCCTCCTCCTCCCTCTCCTACCTACGGTAGTGGAAGTGCAAAATGGGCCCATCACCTGCTGCATCCGTACGGCACATCAACAAGATGTTGCACCACCTGGCACGGACAATGAATCGCATCGCTGCTCTATCAGCGTTTGTTTCCCCCCCCTCCCCCCTTTCCCCCCGGTCTTGATATTGGGTTCAGCCTGTGCTGGTCGAAATTGCTCGGTGTTGCAATGTTTTGTCGGGAGCCCCTGGGTGGCCCAGGGGCTTTTGGCCATGCACCCAATATTAAGATCGGGGGGAAGGGGGAGAACGAGCAATGCAGTGTAGGCGCCAACGCGCAGCAAAAATGGTGCAACATTTTGACGATGTACGGTAGTACCACCTGTTGGTTCGTGGCCTGCAGTTGGAGGTACGCTGCGTTGCCCTGCTGGTCCTATTGCTGCAGACTGGCGATCTGCTTCGCCGCTTCTTTGCTGACCTGACTGGAGGAGGCGGGCTGCGCAGGCTGTTGTGTCATAGCAGCGTCCTGAGGCTCGGGAACGAGACTGTCAATCTCCTCCCTGAGATTCGTTTCTATGTCGGAGATCGCCGCCTTCGCGTCCTCGATCTCGTACCAGTGGTTCTCCCCCTGCGACTGTAACATTAGAATCCGAGCACGTGTGTTTTCGATGTCTTCCAGCTTGTTGGCGAGTCTGGGGGGGCAACATGCTCGGCCTTTTGTTTTCTCAGCGGCTTGATTTGATCCGAGGATTATTTGATCATGGCAATCTCCTCGCGAAACTCCTCGTCTGGCTTCTTTGCCTGCTGAGCCTGAATTGCCAACCTCGCCAGGGTTAGCTCCTTATCCTCCTCCTCCATCCCTCTTCCTTATAGATAATTCCTCCCTGTTGCACCCCGAGGCTGGTCGAAAGGACTGGCCGGGCGTTTCGCTTGAGTTTTCCTCACCATTTACGATCGAGGAGCTTAGAATATGCAACAGTTTCACGGATGGAGGGTGGGTGCTCTTCAAAATGTGGCTCTTGCATTGGCGCCGAGCACATTCGTTAAAACATGCAAGAGCTTCACGGATGGAGAGTGGATCGTTTTCAAAATGCGGTTCTCGCTTTAGTGTTGCGCGCATTCGTCTTTGCAAGAGCTTCACGGATGGAGGGTGGGCCGTTTTCGAAATGCGGTTCTTGCCTCAGCGCCGTGCACACTGGTTGAAAGCATGTAAGAGTTTCACGGATGGAGGGCGGGCCGCTTTTACAATGGGGTTCTCGCCTTAGCGCCGCGCATATTCGTTTGAATGATTGTAAGAGTTTCACGGATGGAGAGCAGTCCGTTTTCAAATTATGGTTCTTGTTTTAGCGCCGCGCGCCTTCGCCTCAAAAGTTAGCAAGAGCTTCACGGAGGCGGCTCTTTTTCAAAGTGTGATTATTGCATCTAGCGCCGTGCACATTCGTCTCAAGAGTTTGCAGCAGTTCAGGGATTCGCATGGTTCACGTCACAGAAATGGTGTCTTGGCACGATGTCGGCATGTCAGATCGTAACGGTGAACGATTCGGTGCAGTTCCGGATTTTCAAACCGCTGTCTTCCAACGGGGCACTTCCCCCAATGAAAATGAACCCTCGTATGGGCCTACGAAGAGAGAATTTGGAGAGAGGGCTTATAGCAATATCGTTGATGCGTCGTGAGTTTGGATTGGTCCCCCTCCTCCTCCTCCTCCTCCTTCGCCTCCCCCTCGTCCTCCTCCTCCCTCCTCTTCCTCCTGCTCCTCCTCCCCCGTCCCTCCCTCCTCATCCTGCAGTTCCCGCCCATCCCTCTCTTGTCCCTACCTCCTCTCCTTCACCCCCTAATTACGTATTCCTCTTCCTCCTCTTCCTCCTTCTTCCTTCTTCCCCCTTCTCATCCCCCGCCTCCCCAGGACGACGACGACGACGACTTTTTGCTAGAAGCAAGCTGCAAGACTGGGCTGCAGACCACAGGGGACAGCGACCAGCAAGCAGGTCGACGACGACGACGGCGACGACGACGGCGACGACGACGGCGACGACGATGGCGACGACGACGACGGCGACGGCGACGGCGACGGCGACGGCGACTGGCCCTCGGAAGCCTGGCGGGGCGGCTGCCCGCGCGAGCGGAGGTCGCCCGAAGGGGGGCTTCGGGGTGCCGCCGGCGAAGCCGAAGGCCGCCGACGACCCGCAGTCTCCGGACCCTCGTGCTGCGCGCGCGCGCGTCAGGGGCAGCGTTCCCGGACCTCCTCGCGCTGTTAAAAAAAACCTTTCTAGGTTTTTCGCTATTTTCGGCCTCTGGGGGCCTTTACTGGGCCTCGGGACCGCGAAAGAAGGACTCGGGACGAAAAAACCGGTCCCCAGGAAGGGGTCCAGACCTCTGGCGGTCGACGCTTGGGGGGGATCGCTGGGAGGGGCAACGTTAGGGGGGATCGCTCACGTCTGGCGACGATATCTGTGCATATCCACTGCCCCCTGGCCTGGCCCTTCCTGGGCCCAGGAGCTGTGTAGACGCCCTCCTGGCCAGGCCAGGAGGGCGTGGCGTACGCACCGCTGCTGGGTTCAAGGACGGGCCTAGCCAGGGAGCAGTGGACATGAGTAGATTTCGGCGCCCTCCCCCTGATCACCGATAGTCATCGAGGATAAAAGAACCCCTGACCCTGATAACACAGTGAAGACGTGGCCCCACTGAGGTCCCGTCTGTGCATTAGGGATCATGCATCTGGGCGGTTTGGCTTGATGTCTGCAGAAAAGAACCTCCAAGCACCGCCTTTACTGAGATCAACATTGATGTCGGGGGTGGGGGATGATTCTGAATTCCCCTCGAATGTGCAAAAGGGTTCGAACACCTTGTCCATCTACTGTGCCTCCCTCCTTCCCTCCGTCCCTCCTCTCGACTGCTTCGACCTCATGCAGGCCCCCCTCTGGGCAGCGCGAGGGCCCCAGAGGAGGGGGTCTCAAGCAACGAGATCGAAGTCGTCTTCAACCTCGTTGAGACGACCCCCCCTCCCTGGCGGCGCGAGGGCGCCATGGGGGAGGGCGTGTCTTCATGAGGTAGATGATCCTCAGGACTACCAGTTGCCGTAAAACAACTTGTCATACCAAAAACTACCAGTTGTCATAACAAATACAAGAAACTGCCATCAAACAACTATCAGTTGTCGTAAAACAACGTGTCATAAACAAAAGTTGCCAGTTTTTTTATGACAACTGTGTCTTCACGTGGTCGATGATCCTCAGGACGTGTGTCAGCCCACTGTGGGCTCACCCTGCTCGGTTCTGCCGATAGCACACGGCCTGCCCTGGCCCTCAGTGCACCACCTGCGTCGCATTGGAGGGCATCGGTTGGCTTTAACATACGTTCTGAGGGTCATCGATCCTCTTCTTCCCCGCCGCCCCCTGCCCTTGGGTCCGTGCCGGGCGGGCCGAATGAAGAGTCCCCCCCCGCGGCTCTCGGGGTGAAAGCTTTCAGCAGAACGGTTCTCAGCTGCTGCAATGCCGAGTTCGACCGACAGACCTCTGCTTCCTCCGCCTATACGCACCTCTTCCTCTATCTTTCACTCCTGCCTCCTCCGTTGTCCCTTCTGCACTGCTCCCTCCTCCCTTCCCTCCGTCCTCCCTTTGGGAAAAAGAAGCGCCTCCTTCGCGAAAAGCGAAGCCTTGACTGCAGGGGGCGCCGCATGATGAGGTTGGCCGCCTCTGAGAGGTATTGTTAAGCCACGCGCGCGGCCCGCGGCACGCTCCCACTCACACCGGAACAGGGCCACCGCAGTGGACTAAGCACTCATTCGAAAGGCTAATGTAATGACAGTGCGGAGGAGGACGCTCAGTCGCTGGAGGTGACCGTACCGGGTAACATGTCTCAACCAAAATTGCGCGGGGCTCGCGCCCGAGCTAGCACGCGCGAAAACTACGCTCTCGACTATGATTGGAGCGTGTTTCTTTCTTGCTTGGGGCATAATGGGCATCATAGCCCCCGGCCCCCCCTCCCCCCCTATAACGTAACGCCCCTCCCCCCCAGTGCGCTCCGGGCACTGCTGCCGTGCGCACGGCGGGGGGGAGGCGTTACATTATACCCCCCCGCTGGCCCCCTCCGCCCCCCCCTATACTGCCCTTTATCGCCGAAAATAAAGACATGCGCGCTCATGGTGACCATATTCTTGCCGCGCCACTGTCCCGCCCACGTGTCCTTACCACACAGGTAGCACGTCAGCATCCAATCACCGCGGAGGGCGCCACGACACGCTGATCCAGCACGATGCCACCCCCCGCTTCTGCTACAGGGAACGGGCCAGTTGCGAATATGACATGTGACGCGCTTGGGAGGGCGAGTGTCCGAAGCATCGAGCTCACGACTGTCAGTGGCATCAGCGTGTCTAGGAGCAACGGGACGGACGGGTGGCGAACCCTCGGGGCGGCGCAGGGACCTGGAAGACTCCCTAGGAGAAGCTACCCAGGCACTGGCACAGATGCTGCCCGTCGCCGCCCCACCGTGCGACTCCCGAAGCCTGACAGGCGACCTAAAACGCGTGCGGCCTCGCCGAAGAGGCCCGAATCACTCGGATGGTTCGTTGGCTGCCCCCAGCCGCAGCCGCGCAGCCGCAGCCGCGCAGCCGCAGCCGCGCAGCCACAGCCGCGCAGCCACAGCTGCACAGCCGCAGCCGCAGCGCAGCCCCGCAGCCGCAGCCGCGCGGCCACAGCCGCGCAGCCGCAGCTGCGCAGCCGCAGCCGCGCGGCCACAGCCGCGCAGCCGCAGCTGCGCAGCCGCAGCCCCGCAGCAGCCCCGCAGCTGCGCAGCACCAGTGCCAGCGGGCGACATGTCGAGGCTGAGCCTCTCGGCGCCGCCGACCGACAGCGACCAGCTGAGCCGGCACGTGGGCCCCTCAAGCACCGCGCAGAAGCATGGGCGCGACCCGAGCGCCCGACGCGATCTGGCGACGGACCTCCAGCCGATGTGGCTCGAGAGGAGGAGGAGGAGGAGGAGGAGGAGGAGGAGGAGGAGGAGGAGGAGGAGGAGGAGGAGGAGGAGGAGGATGCAGGAGGATGCAGGAGGGCAGGGAGGAGGAGCAAGAGGAGCAGGAGGCCTGTGGGGGCAGGAGGCAGCAGTGGCCACGAGCGCAGCGGGAGGACGCAGCAGGAGGAGGAAGAGGCAGAGGAGGCCCGGGAGGAGGCAGGAGGCGGGGGCAGGCATTCGCCCCAAAAGGGCTCAGCGCCGGCGCGCTGGGCAGGACAGCGCCGGCGCGCCCCGCATCGCCGGGACGTGGAGGCACAGCGACGGAAGGGCGATCTCCATCAGGCGGGGTGGCCACTTTGCTCCGCCGCTCGGACCCCGCCGCTCCAGCGCCGTCGCCGTCGCTATCGCCATCGCCGTCGCCGTCGCAATTGCTGTCGACGTCGTCGTCGTCGCTTCGTCGCCGCCGCCGTCGCCGTCGTCGTCGTCGTCGTCGTCGTCGTCGTCGGGGGGAGGGAGGAGGAGGAGGAGGAGGAGGAGGAGGAGGAGGAGGAAGAGGAGGAGGTCGAGGAGGAGGAGGAGGAGGAGGAGAGAGGAAGAGGAGGAGGTCGAGGAGGGAGGAGGAGGAGGGAGAGGAGGAGTCGGCGGGGGATGATGATGAGGAGGAGGATGAGGAGGAGGAGGACGACGACGACGACGAGGCAGAGGAGGAGGAGGCGGAGGAGGAGGAGGAGGAAGAGTAGGAGGAGGAGGTGGAGGAGGAGGAGAAGGACGAGGAGGAGGAGGACGACGATGACGACGAGGCAGAGGAGGAGGAGGAGAAGGAGGAGGTGGAGGAGGAGGACGAGGAGGAGGAGGACGAGGCAGCGGGGGCAGGAGGAGGAGAAGGAGGAGGAGGAGGCGGAGGAGCTCGAAGCGGAGGAGGCTGCTTTGCACGCGGTTCAAAGCAGAACCCCAGACCATGGGAGTTCAGTGTACATGTGCAGGCATTGTCTGCGCTTTTTGCATCAAACCCCAAATGTCGGTTGGGCTCGTGTTCGTCTAGTAGCGTATGGCTTCACACAATAGGAGGTAGCGATGCGTCTTCACAATTGGGACCAATGTTTCCCAGCCTGGCGCCACTCACTTTAAGAGTTCTCCTTTTTCCGTGCAAAAGCGAGGGGAGTGAGGGCCCGACAGAATTCTCGGTGTTTGCGAGCTGAAGCGATCTCATTTGCGGAGCTCGGCGCCCTGGCGCGAACGGCTGAACGACCCTTGCAACGGGACGCTCTGGCGACACGGTTGGCCGCCACAAGAATCATCGGTTTAACGCTGACCGCGCAAAGGCAGGGAGAACAGGGGGGAGGGGCCGGAAAGGCTCCCCCTGGATAGACATCGGGGCGGTCTGCGAGGGGGATCGTCGGCAACCCACAGAGGCACCCGTGCCTCTGACAAACCAGTGTCAGATTTCAGCACGCCGAGCAGCATGCCTCCCACACCAATGTAAAGCCTTCAAACAGGTGTATCCGCCATTTTCGCACCATCACATTCCCCGGGACCTTCCCCCCGTCCACCGGGGAAGGGGCAGGGGAAAGGGGCTTCCTTTCGACGTAATCACGACATTGCTCGATTCCCCTTGTTTGTTCGATCGCCCTTACGACGACGATTCAAACGAGGCTGGCGTACTTCAGTTTGGGTTGGGCTGGCCTCGCGTCGAAGAGAATCTCACACACGCCGGCTGGGTCGGCGGAGTCTACACGATTGTACACCCGAATTATGAAGTCGAATTATTCCAGCCAGCCGTTTATTGACCCCCTTTTCATCCTTGTCAGTAATACAATGCGCGCCGCCACGCGCGCGTTTTGAATTCCTTCCGGAACCATTGGTTTTCGAAGCATTTCAAGATAACGCTCTTCAAAACGCTTGGAACAAACAACAGGTGTTGTTCCACAAAAAAGAGATTGCCTGGGTTTTCGGATTTCCGCGTGCGCATCTCCCCGCCATCACCTTAATCAGGGCCGCCAGCATCAGGCAATCACCGTCATCACCGACACATGGACAGCATCATCGTCATCATCGTCACCAACATCGGCGCTGTCATTGGCGTTGCTGTCGTTATCGCGATCATCGCCATCACCATCGCTGCTGTGTTGCTGCCGTTGTTGAGGTCATGCTGATATTGAGCCCGCCCGTGTCACCGACCTACACTGAAATGCCCGCGTGCCAGCCTGGCTTTCGAGACGCGCTGAAATTCCCACTGGCCCCACTGGTAAGCGCCATCGCGGCAGTATCAGCTGTGCCCAACCAGTTGACCGTTCTTCGCGCGAGCTTGCGCGCGCCAGGGCAACCGCACAGATGCGCCAGCCAGTGCCAAGCAGTCACCGCAGTCGCGGCCGCATGGGTTTTGCAAAATTACTTGCGCGGGGGGATGTTTGCGCGAGCGGTGGAGTTGGCATCTCACTGTGTGCAAAAGCATTGAGTACACCACGCGGCATGCACCACATATCTTGCACCACGTAGTTCGCATCACATCGTAAACTTACACCTGGTAGCTTACACCTCCACGATGCAACTGTTTATTGTTTGGGGTCCGCTCTGGCTGACTTGTTTGATATCAGCATTTCGACTCGTATGCGCCGACTGTGGAGGAGCAGCCATGCAAGGGGCAAAGCATCAGCGGCCCTGTTCCGAACCCGAGCTTTGACTCGCCTCAGCGTCGTGCCTTTGAGCTCGGGGGCCTGCCGCGGGATCTTCGAGAGCGGCAGATCCGCTGCCGCTTTTGCTGCGCCAAGACGAAGTCGTCCCGTTCCAAGGGCAGGGCCCCCGACCCGCCTCGCGCACCTTGACTTGCCGCGGCCGCCGGGCCCCCACCGTCGGCTGCCGCCTCTGCTGCGCCAGGACGAGGTCGTTCCGATCAGAGGGACAGGGCTCCCGACCCGCTTCGCGCACCTTGAGTTGCCGTGGTCGCCGGGCCCCCACTGTCGGCTGCCGCCACTTGCTGCGCCAGGACGACGTCGTTCCGATCAGAGGGACAGGGCTCCCGACCCGACGGGGCTGCAGCATCCGAGGTGCGGCGAAGATGCAGTGATCTCCGCTAGCTGGTCGATCTCACGCCGTGCATGTATCCCCGCGGCGCCTGAAGCCACACAGGCCCGTGGGTAGCGAGTTGTTGCCAGCCGATTGCACAGCAGTCACCACGCACGGGATGAACAAAAACTTGCCACGGCCGCCGAGGAGGAGGAGGAGGAGGAGGAGGAGGAGGAGGAGAAGGAGGAGGAAGAGGAGGGAGGGGAGGAGGAGGAGGAGGAGGAGAAGGAGGAGAAGGAGGAGGAGGAGGGACGAGTTTCTATTCCCCGCCGAAAGTCAAGGGGGCGGAGTGGGGGGCGCAGCAGTAAAGATCCTCCGGGGTTAATGTTGGCTTGAAGGACTCATCTGGGGCGTCGGCGCTCGGGAGGGGAGGGGCGTCCTGTCCGGCGCGCAGGCAGGACGGCGAGACGCTGCACGTCGAAGACGAGCAGACTGGACGGGAACCCGTGGAGGCGGCCGCCGGCCATCTCCCGCCTTTTTGCGCCCCCCCCCCGCTCTCGGCTGGGGGACAAGGAGGGCTTCGGGAGTCTTTGGGATTGCACCCGTTTGTACGAATAACCGGCTGCACACACATAGATGGTCGCAGGTCCGCGCGGATCTCTTGGATCGGCGCGGGACCCCCCTCCGAAAGTTTCTTTCCACACCGTGTTTTCTTTTTCTACTGGTTCCAGTGCTGGTTCATCTCCAGGCCAGAGAAAGCGCTGCCACCGCACCGAGCAGCTCTGAATGCACAGACGGGCCGGGAAATGGCAGCAGCTCGTCTAGAACTTGGGCCTTGCTTCTGCCGGGGACGGAGTGCCTCTTGTGAGACATTCCCCCGCACAAGAGGAGGAGGAGCCACAGGAGCCACAGGAAGAGCAGGAGGGGGAGAGGGAGGAGGAGGAGGAGGAGGAGGAGGAGGAGGAGGAGGAGGAGGAGGAGGAGGAGGAGGAGGACACGAAGGCCCCTGCGCAGCTCCTGGCGCCGGAAGCTCTCCTCTCGGCCAGCGTCAGAGGTGATAGGCATCGGGGGGGCGCATCGACCCCCAATCGCCCACTGCTCGCCGATGGGGGCCCGACTGCTCCAACCTGCCCAGGAACGTGCGGATTCACTGTCAGAGGCCTACAGTGAACTCGCATAGCAAGGATGAACGTTCCCCTCATATCCTTCCCCTTCGGCCCATCCCTGGCTGCTTTCGCCGGCCGCGCCCAGTTGCAAAAAGTGTCGGCGTGGCCTTCCAAAGCCCTTGCATCCTTCTCGTGCGTCCTGACTTGTACGGGTGGGCTGCATCGCCGCCCTATCGGCGGTGCATCGCCGACTCCAAGCCGACGTGCCACCCCCCCATATTCCAGCGCCCCCTCCTACAGTCGGGGCGCTGAAGCAGGAACCCTTTTCGTGGGGGAGGGGCTCCGTGTTCTTTAATTGTTTCGCAGCTTGTCTTAGGTGTTCCTTAGGTTGCCGATGAGAAACCGAAGTTAATCCTTTGGAGAAAAGGGGCATCGTTCCTTATTTAAAGTTCCTTGGGTCAACGACCCGACTGTATGCCAGCCCCCCCCTTATGGTTACCCCTCCCGTAGATGGACAAAAAGCGGACCCCTTGACTATGCCCCGTCCCCTCCCCCCACATTCAAAGTTGTTCCCAGACATTCAGGAGCGCAGGCTTGAAAGGACAAAAAAGTGGACCCCCCGGGGCCTCCACCACGCCTGAGCCCAACTTCGAGTCCGGGGGGAAGGGGGGGGACGAAGGGGGGGGACGAACATGGTATCGACGACGAGGGGGCTCCACTTTTTTGCCCCGATCCCTCCTGCCTGGCGCTTGTCGGCTCGCGGCTCGTGTTCTGCTGTCGGCCTGCCCTTGCCCTCCCTCGGCCTGCTCGGGGGAACGCTGGCGCCACCCGCTCTCCCCCTGCCTCTCGCCCCCCCCCCTCCTCTCCGCTTCCCCCTCTCCTCGTCGACCCGTCTCCTTCACCCCTCCATGGGGGGATCCCCTCGCATCTCGTTCCCTTCCCCGGTCCCTGCGCCTTCTGTCCCTCCCTCCCCTCGTTCCCCTTCCCCGACGTCTCCTGCTCTCCCTCTCTCTTCCCTCTCCGAGAACTTCCGAACAGCTCTGACTCCAAAAGCACCCCCCCCGCCAGGAAGAATCGATGATCTCCGGAACCCCGAACCCCCCTTCCCCTCCGCATCCCCCTGCTCCCCCGAACCCTCGACCCTGCCTCCGAATCCGTCGTACTTTGGTTGATTTTCCGACTTGAAGATGTGCTTGACATGCAGCCCAGGCGATGCGAAGAAGTAGGGCGGAACGTTCCGCCTCGGAAGAAAAGGGCGGATATTTCCCGCAAAAAGGCATGATGGAAGCAGCGACGGCAAAGCAGGTCGGAAACATACATCAGAGGAGCTTGAAAAGTAGGACGGGAACCCCGGGGTGCGAAACCGCTCAGGGTGCGGCGGATCCGGAGGTGAGCGTTTTTTATTCATTGTTTTGCCGATCGGCGCGGGCCCTTGCACCCCCCCCTCACCCCCTCACCATGCAGCAGATCTTGGCAGTTTTGGGCGCCTGTTTCAGGCAAGGGGAGTCTCCCCTCATAGGACGCACGGTTCCAAACAGTCGCATTAAGCAGAGCTGCGGAGCCAGACCCCCCCACTTCCCCCCCTTCCGCCCAATGTCGAAACGCCGAGTCGGCGGAACCCTCGACGCCTCGAGCCCCTCGAGCCCCCGAAGAGCCTCGACCTCTCTCAGGCGATCGCAAACATGGAACGAGGGGGCGTGGACTAGCGACGGGTCCCGCTTCCATGGGAAATCTTGGATCTCCGCCGCCGCACCGGGCGGCACCGGCCATTTCGGGAAGGGCACATCACACGATCGATGGATTTGGCGACCCTGCGCCACATCCATGGATCGCTAATCCATGCTTGCGCGCCTCCGACCTCTCGGCCCCGGGCCAGGTGCCCGCGGCCGCCTTCTCCGCCGGCGACGGCCCCTGCAGCTTCGGCGGGCAGACGGGCGCCCGCGTCGGCGACGAGATCGCGTGGCCGGACGGCACGCGCTGGACCAGGGAGCCTGGCGAGGCCGCGCCTCCTCCGAAGGAGGAGTCGGGGGTTCCCCGCTCAAGCAATGGCGAAGCGTTCCGGCGTGCCTATAGGCCTGCCAAAGGCTGTTCCAAGAACCTCTTGTGGGGTCCACGAAATGCTCTTAGAACATTTCTGGCTGGGACTGTCTTGTTTTGACCCATCGGTTTTATATGTTCTGAGAACATGGCTTCTGTTCTCGGAACGTGTTTGGGCTCTGAGAGCACTTCGTGGTAGGCCTGGAGGACTGCCGGCACGGCAGGCCCCTGCTCCTCCTCCTCCTTCTCCTCCTCCCCCTCCCCCTCCTCCTCCTCCTCCTCCTCCTCCTCCTCCTCCTCCTCCTCCTCCTCCTCCTCCCTCCTCCTCCTCCTCCTCCTCCTCCTCCTCCTCCTCCTCCTCCTCCTCCTCCTCCTCTAACCGGCCCCCCTGGGGGCTGCCAAGGGTGCCCCCGGGCCCGAGGTGCCCCCAGCTTTCCGCTCGGCTCTGGAGCCCCGATGGGGCCCCCAGAGGGCCTCGTGAAAGGGGTGCCCCAGAGGCCGCGGGCGCCTGCTTGGAGATCCTGGAGACTCGGGGGTGGGCAGACCTCCTGCCCTGACACGTGGATTAAGGAATTGGCCGTTTTCGGTTCGCGAGAGGGCGTCGCGGCCGTCATCTGTGCGGGTCCAGGTCCGTCGGTTTCGGTCCAGAGGCCGTTTTCGCTAAGGGGAGGTTTACTGAAGGCAGGTTTGTCCACCGCCGAAAGACACCGTGGGCCAGGGGCACGTCCACGGTAGGTTCGCGTCGTGCCGACTGGCGGCGACCCCAGCGCGGGCTTGTGAGGTTGAACGCCGCCCGCGGCCCAGAATCGGCCCTCCGTTGAGCGACCCAGCGTTTCTGAGACGGCCGATCGCTCAAGTTTGAACGATCCCCGCGGTGTCAGTAACCAACGCCGCGGTCGACACGACGTGGACCAGCCGTAGCAACACCCAGCACCTCCTCGCGTTGCGAGCATTACTCTAAGCCTCCCAGATGGGATCCGAGCAGATGGGGTCGGAGGATCTCGCCACTTCGCCTGTGCATCGGCGAAGCGGGTCGATGCGGAGCCCGACTCTCTTCGCGCCAGCGTCGCCGATGCACTGGCGATACGGCGCGATCCTTTGGCGGGAGATCTTTGCCGTTTTCGGCCTCCGGGGGCCCTCGCCGTGCTTTGGGAGGCCCAAGACGGCTTCAAGACGGCCCAAGAGGCCCCCAAGACGGCCCAAGAGGCCCCAAAGATGGGCCATGAGGCGCTCAGGAGAGCCCCCAAAAGAGGCAAACATCACCCTATGCCCTAGGGAAAACGTGCACTTTTAGCACATTCGCTTTTGGGGCCCAGGAAGCCTGCAAGATCGCCCCAAGGCGGCCCAAGATGCCCACAAGAGGGCTTCGAGTCGGGCCAAAAGGAGCCCAATATTGCCCCGAGACGGCCCAAAAGAAGCTCAAGAGGCCCCCAAAGGCTCCCAAGAGAGACCCACGAGGGCCACGGGAGGCCCTCAAGAGGGCCCAAGTTCCCCAAGAAGGTAGTTCCCCAAGAAGGCCCCAGGAAGGCCCAAGAGGGTCTCAAGACGGCCCACACGGACTTCAAAAGGACCCTCAAGACGGCCCAAAGAGGCGCATAGGAGGCGTCCAGAGGTCCCCAAAGCCGTTGAGAGGCATTCGCGAGGCCCCCGAGAGGTTCTCCAACGAGGAGCCTCCGCAGAAAGACCTGCGGCAGACGGGAGATGGTTCGCAATGCCAGGCGAGAGCGTGGAGGAACGAGAAGTACGATGAGGAACGATGAGGCGTTGCTTTCCACTGCTTTGCGTTGCGCGACCAGGCGACTTGGGCCACGAGCGAGCCCGTGTGGTGGCCACGCGAAGGATCCGAACGTCATTCCTTTGCACGATCGTGCGCTTTCCAGAAGGCGTCTCTTGCGAGATTCACCAAATTGACCCGAATCCTGGGTTCGCAGCAAAATTCCATTGAAATCCGTGGCGAACCCGGGATCTGGTGCTATCCCAGAAACATTTGTTCTTCCACAGCTGTCGGTTTGCGCTGTGTCGACGCGGCGGCGACCCTAGCGCGGGCGTTCGGAATGAACACGGCCAGTGGTCAGGACTCGGCCGGCGTTGAACGGGAATGCGCGATCGTTCACGGCTGCACGATCCAAGCGGTGTCAAAAATCAACGCGCAGGCCGACGACCCGGCGCAGGATCGCGCGAAGAAGGCACGCGATTTTGGTTCGACGTTCTTTCGGAGCTTCAAGGTGGCGTTCTCACGCCACGTGATCGGATCGGCCTCGAAATTCGAATCAAAACGCACCCAAGAACAGTTCGGGTGGCGCACGGATTTGTATAGCGAGGGCAAGAGCAAATAAGAACGGGTGAGGGGACTGGACGGGAAACGGCCAAAGTTCAAAGGCCAAAGAGGATGGCGCCAAGTGCCAACAGATGCACGGCTTGAGGGACCAAGGTGCATAACGTAAAGCGCCAATGCAGTCTTGTGTATATGTTATACTGTTGGAGCGCAAGTGTTTGCTTTATATGTGTTTGGAAGAACTTTAGCTTGACATGCTTCGAGGACCAATGGTTTTTACAGATTTCGACGCGCGTGCCCGTGGCGGCGCGCGCGCGCGTGGCCAACACGAGATTACGTGATACGGATGCGCGCATTGGGCGCATGCTGGGTCAACGCGGATGCGCCGGGTGGTTAGATGTAAATGCGGGTTCTGGGCGGGGTGGTTAAGGCCAGATGGTTCGCAGACGATTTCAGCAAGTGCGCGTGGGTACATAATCTGCCAGATGGTTTATGGACAACCACGTGGTTTTGGATGCTTTTTATATCGAGATGCAAGCTGGACCGTTGGTATGGTTTCGACATGTGTGCGCGTGCGTTGACTTTGTGCTATGCTTGTGCAAGGGACTTTTGAATCATACTTTTCAAGATGGGCGAGTCTGCGCGCATGGTATGATCTGAGAAGGAGGAGGGGGGATGCGACGCCCGGCCCCCATGTGATAATATGAGTTCATTTGGAAAGTAAGCGGTGGGGCGGATACAGACGCAACTCGTATTAGCCCAGGGGTGTAGCGCTGGCGTCGGGGGGGCAGGGTGGTGGAGTTGATCTTTCCTTTGGAAAGAGAACTTCTGTGGTGCGATACATGAAGTGTACTCACGAGTGCGGCCAGGAGGCGGCCACTGGCGGCAGCGTGGGCGAAAATCTCGCCTGACCCACACTGCGCCCGAGGCGGCCACGGGGCGGCCACGGGCAGCGTGGCGAAACATCGCACGAGGCGGCCACGCGCCCGACCCACCAAGGCGCACGAGGCGGCCACGCTGCGGCCAGGGGCGGCGACGTGGCGAGGCTTCGCCGGACCCCCCGATAGCGTTGAGCGGCCACGGGGCGGCCACGGGCGGCAGCGTGGCGCAACCTCGCCGGACCCGCCCAGCGCTCAAGGCGGCCGCGAGGCGGCAACGGGCGGCAGCGCGGCGAGACCTCGCTGGACCCGCCCAGCGCTCAAGGCGGCCGCGAGGCGGCAACGGGCGGCAACGTGGCGAAACCTCGCCGGATCAGGCGGCCACGAGGCAGCAACGCAGAGAAAGCTTGCCAGGCCCACCCTGCGCACGTGGCGGCGACAAGACCACAACGAGGCGGCAACGTGGCGAAACCTCGCGATTCTCACCCGGCGCACGAGGCGGCAACTTGCGGCAACGTGAAACATCTTTGCCCGACCCAACTGAGTCCTTAGAGAGAAAGAAAAAAACTCCTAAGTGCAAGTATCGCTTGGGGAATGAAAATCCAATACCTGCCCCTCGGTGGCGCCTCTTTGGGCCCCCCTTGGGCCCTCGTCGTCGCCGCCAGATTCGGCCCGAATTCCTAGTCAAAAGCGCACCCCATGAGAGGTCCAGGGAGTAGCAGTAAGGGAGGGTCGCGTCGTGTCGACGCGGCGGGTGTTGGGATGTTTTTTTTGCTCCCCGAGGAGGCCTTGCACGACAAGCTCTACCAGGATGGCGAGCTCAAGCGGCAGAAGCTGAAGGCATCGGCCGTCCGACCGCAAGAGCACTCGTTGGGGAGTAGGAGTAGGAGGAGGAGGAGGAGGAGGAGGAGGAGGAGGAGGAGGAGGAGGAGGAGGAGGAGGAGGAGTATCAGCAGCAACACTCAAGCCCTTTAAGGCGTCTGATGTCCACTCCAGGAAAAATCTTGGCTCGGGCTGGGGCTGTGACAACCTTTTCTAATCCCCATGGCGTCACTCCGCATTCTAAGTAGGCAACTGTGCTGTTACACAGCGTGCACGCGCTCAGACTCGCAGCTGCCGAGCGGGGCGACAAGAGGGATGGGGCGGAGGCGAGCAGGCGAGGGAGGAGGCCGACACGCGTGCGCGCATGCAGCAGGCCGATGGGCCAGCACGATGGGCCCAGCAAGTGCAAGCGGCCGAGGCGGGGACTAGGGAGGAGGCAGACACGCGTGCACGCAGGCAGCAGGCCGATGGGCCAGCACGATGGGCCCGGCACGGGGCAGCGGCCGTGGAGGGACTTCGGCCCAATCAACTGGTGCGGGAAAAAAGGAAGACGACGGAACCGCGTGGGGAGGGCCGACAACGTCATGAAGGTCCCACATCTGCGGCTCATCTCAGCACCGCGGAAGAGACTGCCCGTGCCGGGGGGGGGGAATGTAAGGGGCAGGGCGCGCCTGATGACGCAGTGCTCGCTGGAGCGGGAGATTATCGCGACCTCTCGGAATGCAGCAATGATGGGCGCATTTACGTGATCGCGACCGTCAAATACGTGTACCCTACCTGTACCCACAAACTCGATCACCAGCTCACATTATTATCATGGGCACGGCGTCCTAGCTACACCAACCGGATGAAGAGCAGGGAATGGCATCACCGTGGGATCCCCTTATCGAGGGCGAGGCTACTCACTGCGTGAACGATCCAGGGCCATCATCCCCAGATCAATGGCCGGTTCGCCGAAACGTGGACCTCCCATTTCAGCGTATTTGGCGTATTTGGGACAGTATGCCGAGAAACAGGTGGCTGCCTTGCAGGACTTCCCAACACCGGGCTGCTGCTTGGCTGAAATATGATAGAAGCTTCGCGTAACCCCACCAGCCCATCCAGAAGCGATGCCCAGGCGAGTTGCATTCATCAAGGATACGGAGGAGCATGCAGTGAAGTAAACAGCTTGGTAAGCCGGCATGCCCCCAAAGGGGGAGGATGGAGGAGGAATCGGAGGAGGATGAGGAATCGGAGGACGAGGAGGAGGAGAAGGATGAGGAAGATGAGTAGGAGGAGGAGGAGGAGGAGGAGGAGGAGAAGGAGGAGGAGGGGGAGAAACAGGAAGAGGAGCAGGAGGAGGAGGAGGAGGAGGAGGAGACGAGGAGCAGCGGAACGGCGAGAGGGAGGAAGAGGTGGAGAGGAGAGAGGAGGAGGGATAGGCGAATGAGGAGAAGTTATGGGAAGAGGAGGAGGAGGAGGAGGAGGACGGCGAGGGGGAGGGAGAGTGGAGAGGAGGGAGGAAGAGGAGGAGGAGGAAGAAGAATAGGCGAATGAGAAGGAGGATGAGGAAGAGGAGGAGGAAGAGGAGGAGGAGGAGGAGGAGGAGGAGGAGGAGGGCGAGTAGAAAAGGCCAGAGGCTCTTGGATGTCTCCAGGAGTCTCTTCGGATGTCTCTTGAGAGCTTCTTGGAGTTCCCTCGGGGGTCTTGGGGCCTTCCTGGCGGTCCCGGGGGCCTCTTGGGGCGTCTGGGGTGCCTCGGGGGAGCCTCTTGGAGCCTCTTGGGGCTCTCTTGGGAGTCTCTTGGGGGCCTCGTAGGGCCTGTTGGGCGCTTCTTGTGGTCCTTTTGGGGCACTCTTGACAGCCTTGGGGGCCATCTTGGATGAGTTCGATCAAACAGCGGGGGGGTCAATTGCAGCCCCTCCCCAGAGGCTAAAATTGGCCCAATGATTTGTGCCGCCTTCTCGCCGAGGCCGTCTTGGACGTTCCAATGGGTCGGACCCCCCCCCCTCCAGACCCAGAGGGAGGGGGTAGCAGGAGGGGCAACTCCCTCCCCGAAGGGGAAGAGGTATGATGGAAAAGGAAACGCTCTGAACCAGTCACGCCCAGAGGGCCTGTGGGACTCAATCACGGTACTGCAGCCAGGGCATTCTTGCCGCAGCGATTTATCTCAGTTGAGGTACCGCGGGCAGCCTTGTTAAAACCTCCTTTTGCAAATCCCCTGAGTTATATCATGCTATGTCACTCCCCTTCTCTCCCCGCTAGCGGACGAACAGCTGCCGTCTAGGCACTGGCGCACGGGCAGTAGGAACTAAAGTGCCGCTCGCCGTAGCGGTTGATGCCCTCGCGCAAAGTTGGCTACTAGGCCTCTCTGTTATTTGTCCGTTTCTCTCAGTGTTTAATCCCCCTCTTTTCTTGGCCCATCACCGCTCATTAGGTCGGTCCCAGAGATACCAAACCAAATGAGGCCCGCGTCGTGTTGTCTTTTCGTTTCACTTGCAAGCTTTACCAGAAGAGTTCCGGCCCTCCGCGCAACCTTAACGACACATGTGCAGCTATGTCTTTCTCGAGTAAAAGAAAGCCACCTCCATGATGTTCCTCCTCCACCTCCTACTACTCCCTGTATCTTGAGACATCGAACGCCTCATGGTACTGTCGTTCCTCCTCCTCCTCCTCTTCCTCCTCCTCCTCCTCCTCCCTCTCCTCCTCCTCCTCCTCCTCCTCCTCCTCCTCATCATCATCATCATCATCATCAGCATCATCATCATCATCATCGTCATCGTCAGCGTCAGCGTCATCGTCATCGTCATCATCATCACCATCATCCTCATCCTCGTCCCTCTCTTCCTCCGCCTCGCCCCTCTGCTCCTCCTCCTCCTCGCCCCTCTCCTCATCCTGATCCTCTTCATCATCATCATCATCATCATCATCATCATCATCATCATCATCATCAGCATCAGCATCAGCAGCAGCAGCAGCATATCATCCTCATCCTCATCATCGTTATCAGTATCATCGTCATCATTCTCATCAGCATCATCATCGTCATCTTCATCATCAGCATCATCAGCATTTTCATCATCAGCATCATCACTATCATCAGCATCATCATTATCATCAGCGTCATCATCAGCATCGTCATCATGTTCATAATCATGTTCATCATCATTATCATCATCATCAGCAGCATCAGCATCATCATCATCATCCTCCTCACCATCATCATCCCTCTCCTCCTCCTCCTCATCCGCCTCCTGCTCCTCGCCCCTCTCCTCTTCCTCTCCTCCTCCTCCGCCTCCGCCTCCTCCTCCTCCTCCGCCTCACTCCTCCTCCTCTGCGGCGACGCGGTCGACCGCAGATGCAGCGGCAGCCGCTGCTGCTCGCGAGGAGGAGGCGAGGGCCAGAGGCCGCTGCCGAGCTCTCGGCTCGCTGCGTGCTCTCGTCGGCTCGCGTACTCCGAGGCCAGGGGCGGAAGGGTCGCAGTCGCTGGGCGGCATGGAGCGCACGAGCGAGGCGGCGGGAATCCAGACGTCATGGCGCCAACATCGCAGAGCGGATTTCGTTCGGAAAGCAACAGGATGGGCCCGGAGTGTCCTGGAGAATCTCGTTCCGGATTTCGAGGTGAATTTCGTGCGGATGTTCGTTGGCCAGGAGTGAAGACTACAAAAACATCCACGCGAAATGCATTTCGTTTTTCACTCGCTGTTTTGGGATTTTGCATTGACAGAAATACACGCAAAAATCCGCTGCAGCCCGTCTGCAAGGTCGGTGCAGTGACAGACGCGGCGAAGAGATCGTTTCCTGAAACCCAAGGAGGACCCCAACAAGTGGAACAGAAAATTGGGTACGGTAGAGGGAGACAATTCATGGACACGCCTCCGCCCCCCAAAGCTAAAAGTGGGCACGCGCGGGGAAGCTTGCGGTCAAAGTGGAAATCCAACCCACCGTCAATAGGGGGGGGCATTGACGGATGAATGTGGCATGAGTGTTCGCGAATTTCTCCCGAGGTTTGTAGTGGCCCTTGATAGGGGGGACATGGAGATACCGATGCCGCTATTCCCTGGCCCTCTTCAGGCGTGCGTGCTGACCAGAATTTCGAGGCGAATCCAGCCGCGGCGACGATGAGTGGGCAGCGGTATCGGCACCCTTCCTTCCGCCGAGATGGGTTACGGCCAGCCTCGGGACAGAATAACATTCTTCAAGAACGCGAGGCCCTCCGCCAGCCAAAGCACCCCAAACCAGAAGATCACCGAAGGTACCCTCCCCCAGGATGTACCGGAGCGTCCAACAAACCCAGACATCCGGCGTGCCGATTTTTTCGAGACACGGGCCCCCGACCTCCCGACCCCTTCTCCGGGACCCAGTTTACCGTCCCGAGTAGTTTTTGGACCGCCACGAGGCCCGGCCAGAAGCCACGAAAAGCCTCCGCCTCGATTTTCCGAGACGCCCGATGTCTGGGAGCACGAAGAGCACCACGGCCCCCTCCCCGAATCGACCTCGACCCGACCGTGCCGGCCCGACCGTACAGGCGCTGGCCCTCCGAAGCGCTCCCCCCCCCCCAAGTGAGCTCTGGGCGCCTCGGAACCCCCGCGCTGCTGCCGGGGGCCGCTCCTTCCACCGTGGCTCGGGGGCGGCCAGGAGGGGGGTTGAACGGCCAGGGGCGTGTGGATGTCATGGCGGGGGTCATATTGGTAGCTCCCCAGATCTCATGGCGCCTCCTCTTGTTTCAATACGTCCCCAGCCCCCCCCCCCCTGGGCCGCGCAAATGCCTCCGGCCATGATTTGCGCCCCCCCCTCTTGGACGCCCCCCTCGTGGCCGCCCCCGAGTGGCTCGAGATCCGCCGTCGTGTGGTTGCTCCTCCTGCTTGCAGTTTCGCCGGACATGTCGTGGCGCCAACATCGCAGAGCGGATCTCGTCTGGAAAACGACAGGATGGGCCCAGAGTGTCCTTGAGAATCTCGTTCCAGATTTCGCGGTGAATGTCGAGCGGATTTTCTTGGCCAGGGGTGAAGATTAAGGAGAACACAAGCGAAATGCACTTCGTTTTTCACTCGCCGTTTCGGGGTCTTGCATTGACAGAAATGTATGCAAAAATCCGGTCCAGCTCGTCTGCGAGGTCGGTGCAGTGAGACATGCACCCCAAACGATGTGGATAACCAGGGGGCAGGAAGTGCTCGAGGGGACGGAGGATTGGGGATGTAAGAGCGGGGGGGGAGCACGCGCGACGCTGAAAACGAACGGCAGAGAAGTCGGGGAAGATCTTTCGGTGAGTCAGAACGCGGGAAGAAGACTTTGCTGATTCATTCCAGGCTCTGACTTTGCACCTACTTGCAACTGTGCCGGACATGCACCCCAAACGACGCGAACAAAGTAGGGCGGAAATTTTCACCTCGGAAAAGCAGGGCTGATATTTCCGACAGATATTGACAAGTAGGGCGAGAGTTTCCGCCCTATTTGTCGGATCGCCCAAAGTACGGCGGACTTGGAGTCAGGGCAGTGATGTGGATTAGCGGCTCTGGCCCAACCAATAGATTTTCGACCGAGGGGCCGCGATGCTGTATTCCTCGCCTGCCCTCGAGGCTCGAGACCACGACGTCAAGGCAGTGAGGTGCTCAATTGGTCCTGCTCGCTGGGTTCAGCCGAACCGAATCCGCTCCCCACCATTGTTAGGACTAGGGACGCGTCGCAGCTGCACAAGAGAGGCTGGATGGCCGGAAGGCCGTTCCCGCAAGGCCTCGCATATCCGATCCCAGATGCAGGCTCTGGCACGGCGATGCTCGAAACGGCCGTGGTGGTTTCTAGGGGCATCATTGGAGGCCTACTCGGGCGTGTCTTGGAGGCTTCTTGGAGCATCTTGAGAGGATCATACAGCCTCTGGGAGTTGGACCATCGTTTAACATTCTTGGGGCGCATGCCGATGAAGCAGTTATGGTCGGGGGGGACTCTCCCGATCGTGCTTTTCGCTGTCCCCCCGTTCTCCTTCTCATGCTCCTGCGTCCATCCTTCTTGTCTCGGGGGCCTCCAATTAAACGACACAGTGACCACACCGTGCGGTGAGTCAGTGGGAGGTTTAGGTGACCGCACAGTTTTGGGACTTGGGTCGTACTCCGAGGATGTCTCGGGCAATTGCGGCCTCCAGGTTCCCAAAACGGTGTGATGACGGACAGTGCGGTGATGTCGTAGGGGGTTTCGAGGTCACAGCATAGCCTGTCACCGCAGCGTTTCGGAACCCACAGTTGTCTTGCTCCTCATCATCCCTCCTCGTCTTGCTCCTTCTCCACCCCCTTGCTACCGCGCAGTTCGGCAAGAGCAGGAAGGAGGGCCCAGACCTGAAGTTTGTGGAGAATCTGCACAACAGGCATCGGGACATCAAGCAGAAGAAGGAGCAGGCCCAGAAGGACCCTCTTGAGCCCACTCCTTCTCCCTCCCTCCCCTCCTCCCCAAGAAGTTCCAAGAGGCGCCGAGAGACCCGAAGGCGGCCCCAAGAGAAGACCCGTGACACAGTTGCAGTTCCCGAGATGTTTGATGTAGCGTCGGCGCGGTTGGTGCATCCTTGATCGACCGCCAGCCTGGGCCGACATGACCCCGCTGGATTCTGCCTAATCCAGTTCAGTCCCAAACCTAATTTGGGCTGATCCTGATCACCGGCCCCTCAATCTGGCGTGTTCGCTCCTGGTCGGTCTTGCGAAGAGCTCCCAGAAGCTGCCTCCCCTGCACCGCTCCGCGAAACTTGGAGCAAATTTTGTGGACCCCCGTGCCTCCGATCTCGATGTTCGGTTGCGCGTGCCGCACCGTCTGCGGACGCCGACACACAAGTCTGAGGTTGTTTCGTGATGGGCCTGTTCTCCACCACCACCACCACCATACGTACAGTCGGGGCCGTGAAGAAGGAACCCTTTTCGTTGGGGAGGGGCTCCGTGTTCCTTAAGTGCTTCACAGCTCGCCTCAGGTTCTCCTTATGTTTCTGATCGGAAGTCAAAGTTTAGCTTATGGAAAAAAGGGGCCTCGTTCCTTATTTAGGGTTCCTTAGGTCAACGCCCCGGCTGTAGGAGGGGGAGGGGGTCTTCCTCCTCCACCACCACCACCATACGTACGTAGGAGGGGGAGGGGGGTCCTCCTCCTCCTCCTCCTCCTCCTCCTCCTCCTCCTCCTCTTCCTCCTCATCTTCCTCCGACGGCGGGGGCCCATTCATACTGCTATTGCACTGTTCCGCCCCCCAATGCCGCTCTATCTTCCTCCTCCTCCCCCTCTTCTTCCTCCTCCTCCTCCTTTCCCCCTCCAACTTCTGGTGGTGGTGATGGAAAACGGGCCCATCATCTCGGCCTCAGCACTGAAACTTGGGGGCCTCAGGGCGCCGCCCAGGCGCAGGACAAGCCTGCTTCAAGCTTCGCGGAGGGATGTGCCCTGCTCCCCTCCCCTTGGCATCGCTCGGACGTGTGCATTTTTTCTCGGCGAGAACCATTGAGGACGATCCTGGACCATCGAGCAAAAAAAACACGCACGAAACCGAAAAATGCACGGGAAATGGGCGTCCGAGCGATGGCGAGTCCCCCTCTGCTTGCGGAATGTGCGGGGGGGCCACTGCCGACGAGCACGCCCGGTCTCTGGGCGCCCCGTGTACCTGTGAGCTTCCCCCTGCATGTGCGACGCACCCGGGCGGATATTCGTGACGGTTGGGCCTGCGGGAAGGCTCAGCGAGGCGCTCGTGAGCTCTACAGTGAACAAGGGTTGTGGGTGCCTCTGTCCTTGCTCCTCCCTTCCTCCCGCCTTTCCTGTCGTCATTATTCGCATTACCCTCCTGAGAAGGAAGGGGAGGAGGAGGAGGAGGAGGAGGAGGAGGAGGAGGAGGACGAGGACGAGGACCAGTGTAAACCCAAGAGTCATCAACGATGGTGGAATAAACCCTCCCTCCAAGCTCCCTCTTCGCAGGTTGGAATACAGCCGATCGAAGACCCTGAAGCATGCCAAAACATTGTTCTCGGGATTCCAACGCCGCGGATCAACCTGACCGTTGCGTGTTGACGATCCTGAATCGTGCCAGAACGTCATTCTTGAGACTTCAACGCCGCGAACGAACGTATCTGCTGCACCCACATAGTGCTGAATCTTTCCAAGACGCCATCTCTGGTATTTTGATCATGGGACTCCGTGGACTCTGGCAATTGTTTAAAGCGAATGTGCGCGGCGCTAAGGCGGGAGCCACAGTTTGATAAGGAACCGCCCTCAATTCGTGAAGCTCCTGCAAATTTTAAAAAAGAATGTGCTCGGCGCTCAGGCGAGAGCCACATCTTGAAAACGACCCGCCCTCAATCCGTGAAACTCTTGCAACATGTTGAAACGAATGTGCGCGGCGCTAAGGCGAGAGCCACATTTTGAAAACGGGTTCCCCTCAATCCGTGAACGCGGCGCTAAGGCGAGAGCCACATGTTGAAAACGACCCGCCCTCAATCCGCGAAGCTCTTGCAAAGTTTGAAACAAAAGCGCGCGGCGCTAAGGCGAGAGCCACATTTTGAAAACGATCCGCCCTCCATCTGTGAAAGGGTTACCAAGTTTGACGCTTCAGGGTCATAAATGGTAAGGAATTCTCAGGCGAAACGCCTGGCCCGCCCTAAAAACTGGCTTCGGGGTGCGACAGGGAGAAGTTACTACTAAGGAAAAGGAATGGAGGTGGAGAAGGGAGGAGGAGGAGTAGGAGGAGGAGGAGACGAAAGGATGAGGGTGAGGAGGAGGCGGGGGAGGATGATACTGAGAAGATTGAGGAAGGCCGTGGCTATGCTACTCATGTGAATCCACCTGGCCGCGGTGCGGCCTCAGGCGCACTAACAGACCAGTCGCCATCCACAGGCCAGAGATCCTCAGGTCTGGCCTCACGCGCAGCTCTCCTGGAGCCCATGTGAATCGAGCCAATCCCCATAGGGGTCCAGCACAGGCATCTCCATCCCGTACTGGCGGAAGCCGGCAGGCAGGCTCCTCACCAAACTTGGACCCAGGACCCAGCCCAGGCCCGCCTCCGGTCCCCCTCCCCCCACCCCGACCCCCGCCGTGGACAAGTGCACAGAATCGGGCCCCACCACCCACCCCCCGTGCAACCATTCGATATCCTTCTCGCCCATAGACCCTGAAGTCCCAGAGACCCAGCAGGCGCGAGCGCAGACGGGTGAAGAAGGTGGAGCCCGAGCTGAGCGCGCTGAGTCTTGAGACCCTGCCGGCGCCACCCAAGACACGCCCCCGCCAAGCCCCTGCCATGGGCCGCCTCTCTGGCCCACAGGCGCCCCACGAAAAAGACAGGCCCCTGCAGAACAGAGACGGGAGGCCCTGGGCCTGGTCTCCGACACCACACTGGACCACCGAATGCCCTGTAGAGGGCCACGGCCTGCAAGCGTTTCTCCCCAGCTAGACCCCACCCCCATTCTTACCGGACCCTCCAGCTACCCTGGGTCCCTAGAGCCTTCCTGCTATCACCCTCTCTCCTTGTGGTCGTCGTCGTCATCCTCCTTGTCCTAGTCCCCCTTGTGCTTTTATCCCCCCAGCTTCTTTGCCGAGGAAAAGGAGAAGACCGACGCGCTCAAGCTCGAGGAGGATGGTCGTTTTTTCAGCAGACAGGGTGAACCGAAGGAGGAGGTGTGGGATAGGGATAAGGAACTGGGGGTGGAGTAGGATTGTGGATTTCGTCGGTGGTGCATCTAGATACATGGCGCACGCATCCTAACAGAACGGGAAGAGACATCGTGGATGGGTAAGGGGGGAGTGGGAGGGTCAGGGTGGAGCCAACGCAGATTCTTGATTTATCACGTTCCGATCAGAACATTCAGAAACGAATTCCAAGCAAGTTGCCGTGAGAAGGAGAGGGGGCGGGTAGTGGGGGGGGAGTGGGACAGGGAGGGACAGGGGAAGCTGCGGAAGGAGGGGGTTGAGGAACGGAGGGAGGGAGGGAGGGAGGGAGGGAGAAGGAGGAGGAGGAGGAGGGATGAGAAGAGACGAGCAGGGAGGAGGAGGGAGGAGGAGGGAGGAGGAGAGAGAAGGAGGGGGAGGAGGGTGGAGGAGGGTGGAGGAGGGAGGAGGCGCAGGAGTAGGAGCAGGCAGGAGGATGAGGGATCATGATGCTGCCGATGATGATAATGATGCTGATGATGATGATGATGATGATGATGATGGTGGTGGTGGTGATGATGATGGTGATTATGATTATGATGATGATGATGATGATGATGATGATGATGATGGTGATGATGACGATGATAACGACGCTGATGATGATGCTGTTGATGATGATGACGAGGATGCTGGTGATGCTGATGGTGATGGTGATGGCAGTGTTGATGATGACGATGAGGATGATGATGACGATGATGATGGCGATGATAAGGACGCTGGTGATGATGATGACGATGATGATGATGGTGAAGATGATGATGATGTTGATGATGGCTGAGGATGATGATGATGATGGCGATGGTGATGGTGATAATGATGGTGATTGTGACGATGATGAGGATGAGGATGAGCAAGAGCATGAGCATGAACATGAGGATGAAGACTGTGAGGGTGAACATGAGGATTCGGATGAGGACCCGATGCTGATGCAGATAATGATTGTGATACTGATAAGGATGGTCATGGCAACGTTGATGCTGATGGTGCTGATGAGCATGTTGATGCTGATGACGATGAAGATGAATATGATGATGATGCTGATGATGATGATGATGGTGTTGATGATGATGATGCCGATGCTGATGCTGATGATGATGATGCTGATACTGATGATGCTGATGGTGATGGTGATGGTGATGATGATGATGATGATGATGATGATGATGATGATGATGATGATGATGATGATGATGATGCGTATGCTGATGCTGTTGGTTGTGATGCCGATGGTGACGGACACGGTTGTGATGCTGAGTATGGTGATTGGCATTTGTGAGTTGATGATGATGCAGGTGATGGTGATGATGATGATGGTGCTGGTGATGGTGATGGTGATGGGAGTGTTGATGATGACGGTTAGGATGATGTGGATGAAATTGATGACGATGATGACGATGATAACGACGGCGATGATGCTGATGATGGTAATCATGACATTGATGATGGCGATGATGATGGTTCTGATGTTGATGACGATGCTGATTATCAGGATGCTGATGTTGGTGATGTTGATGTTGATGTTGATGATCGTGGTTGCTATGGTGATGTTGATGGTGATGGCGATGATGGTGATGGTGAGGATGCTGGCGATGATGATGATGACGATGATGCTGATGATGGAATTGAGCCGGGTGACGATGTGATGATGTTGTTGTTGATGCTGCTGACGATGATGACGATGTTGATGGTGATATGCATGAACATAATGATGATGGCGATGTCGATGATAGTGGTGGTTGTGGTAACGTGTATGATGATGATGATGGTGATTCTTACGACGATGATGGTGAATACGACTATGACAAACAATATGTTGCGCACGTTGATACTGATGTTGATTGGACCGTGTGGAGATAGGATAATGTTGATGTTGTTGTGAGTGATGATGATGATGATGGTTCTGATGTTGATGACGATGCTGATTATCAGGATGCTGATGTTGGTGATGTTGATGTTGATGTTGATGATCGTGGTTGCTATGGTGATGTTGATGGTGATGGCGATGATGGTGATGGTGAGGATGCTGGCGATGATGATGATGACGATGATGCTGATGATGGAATTGAGCCGGGTGACGATGTGATGATGTTGTTGTTGATGCTGCTGACGATGATGACGATGTTGATGGTGATATGCATGAACATAATGATGATGGCGATGTCGATGATAGTGGTGGTTGTGGTAACGTGTATGATGATGCTGATGGTGATTCTTACGACGATGATGATGATGAGTACGACTATGACAAACAATATGTTGCGCACGTTGATACTGATGTTGATTGGGCCGTGTGGAGATAGATACATGATGGATGATGAAGATGGTGTGAGTGATGATGATGTTGATGATGATGACGACGACGATGGTGATGATGATGATAATGATGATGCTGATGACGATGATGATGCAGATGATGATGATGATGATGCTGATGATGATGATGATGATGATGCTGGTGATGATGATGATGCTGATGATTCTGCAGATGATGATGATGATGATGATGATGATGATGATGATGATGATGATGATGATGATGATGATGATGATGATGATGATGATGCTGGTGGTGGTAGAGGAGGAGGAGGAGGAGGAGGAGGAGGAGGAGGAGGAGGAGGGGAGGAGGTGGAGGGGGGGCAGGTGGAGGGGGATGGGGAGGGGGGGGGGGGGGGGGGGAGAAGGAGGAGGACCTCCCTCCCTCGGCCCAGGAGCAAAGGCCCTGGAGCCAGCGGAAGGGGGGCGCGGGCGGCGGGCCCACGAAGGCCCCGAGGAGGCAGTGCGTGGCCGTGCTCTTCGACGTGCCAGGCGCCCGCCCAGGGGCGAGGAGGCGGGGAGGAGGGAGGAGGAGGGAGGCGGAGGAGGAGGAGGAGGGAGGCTGAGGAGGAGGAGGAGGAGGAGGAGGAGGAGGGAGGCGGAGGAGGAGGAGGAGGAGGAGGAGGAGGACGGGTCGCCAAAGCCCTTCGGAGAAACCCTCCACACCTTCCTGGGCACATTCCTCAACCAACGCCCCCATCGTAACGCGTCCTCTCCCGAGCGGCATGGCCAGAAGGAGCTCGCCACAGAGCGCATACGACAGGAGTGCCCGAGCGTCGGGAAGGAGGAGGCGGGGAGGCGACATCAGTCATCATTACCTGCTTCCCCTGCCGCTTTTGGATGCCGCCGCCCTCGTGCTTCACCATGTTCTGGCTGCCGCAGCTTCATCCGTGCGATCAAGGGCGCGGGCGCATGCGTGGAAAGTTTCGCGCGCGTGCCCGAGCGATTATCTGATTAAATCTTCGTTTCAATGGTATTACTAGCCATGCCGATCAACCAGGGCAAGTTTCCGCAGCTCGACCTCAGTAAGGTCGGTGGCGAAAGGAAGAAGTAGGGTGGTACATCTGAGGTAGGAGGCCAGAGGAAAGGCGAGAGAGAGAGAGGAAAAAAAACAAGAGATAGGACAAACATCGATCGTCATGGAGGCAGAGAAGAGAGAGATCCTAGATAACCTGGCAAGTGATAGGGTATCAGCCGACGAGCTAGGTAACAATGGGCATATAAGATACATGAACTTTGTCATGGACAAGGGTCACGTGGTCAGAATGGCTTGATACGTCCTGGACTACGCGGCCCACAAGAAGGATACTTTGTCATAAAAGTTTAATAAACAGATCAGCGCTGTGTCCTTCCCGAGCCGAAAACCTGAATGCCTGACTCGCCGAGGGGGAACCTTGAGATCTCCAGGATCTGCACCTCGTTTGAAGACGAGGATGGCTTACATTCGCTATCGAGTGGGGGCGCGGCCCCCGCCGACCGAGACAATGGAAACCTTGGTGGGGGCATGGCTCCTGCCGGCAGCGAGATCGACGCGCCGAGTAAGGCTTCGCCCATGCCAGAGGAGAGGCGAACGTGCTGAGCAGGAGTTCGGCTCCTGCCGGTGCGATTGCCGACCCGCGGCCCTTCACGCCTCGTCTACGGCGCTGGCCTGCCCACGTAGACGATTCCCGCTATCGACCTGCTCGGCGCGGCGAGCCTGCCGGTAGATCGGCGGCATCTCCCCGTGGAGCGCACGGGCACGTACACCGCTGCTTGGCAGTCCCCAGAAGTGGTGGTGACAACACCGGGCGGTGAGTCTCGGGCGGTTTGGAGTCACCATCCGAATGCTGGTGGGTCAGGGAGTCACAGAACCTGGCGGTGACCCCGAGTTCCAAAACCTGGCGGGAACTTGGGATCCCAGGTCACAGCCAGCGAGGCGGGGACACCCCGGACGCGGCCATCCGCGGCTTGCCAGAGTTGCGGGATCCCCCGCATCCGCGTCATGAGCGCGATGATCGTATTAACTCGTCCTCGAGTAGTGCGGCGTTGTCCACGAGGCGAATGCCAGAACATTCCGGCGTTGTAGAGCACGGGGTGAAAAGCTGACAGGCCGCGGTGGGCGGCGTTGGTCGGTTGTGGCACGCGCCAGAGCCTCGCACGCCTCTTGGGGTCGGCGGATAAGGACGAAAGGTGGAGGAGGAGAGGAGGGAAGGGATGAGGAGGAGGAGGAAGGAAAGAGGATGAGGATGAGGATGAGGATAAGGATGATAATGGGGATGGGGATGCTGATGCTGAATATGATGTTGATGATGGAGATGCTGATGCTGATGATGCTGGTGCTGATGATGATGCTGATGCCGATGCTGATGCTGATGATGATGAGAGTGAGGAGGACGAGGAGGAGGAGGACCAGTGCAAGCCTACAACTCATCGAAGATAATGTAATACACCCTCCCTCCAAGTTCCTTCTTCATGGGTCCCTACGAGGGTTCATTTCCACTGAGGAAATTGTCCCATTCGGAACAACTCAAGCTTGCCAACACACCTCTCAGGACTTGAACGCCACGAATCAATCTGAACGTTGCGCCTTGACCTTCCTGAATCGTGCCCAAACACCAGTCCTGGGACTTTAACACTTTGAGTCCACATAACTGGTGCGCCCTGACAAACCTGAATCGCTTCAAAACACCACTTCTGTTACGTTAGCAACAAGAATCAGTGAAACTTCTGCAACTGTTAGAACATATGTGCGCGGCGCTAAGGCGAGAGCCACATTTTGAAAAGGAACCGCCCTCAACCCGTGGAGCGTTCAAAACGAATGTGCGCGGCGCTGAGGCGAGAGCCACATGTTGAAAACGACCCGCCCTCAGTCCAGGAAGCTCTTGCAAGTGTTGAAGATTAATGTGCGCGTCGCTAGGGCGAGAGCCACATTTTGACAACCACCCGCCCTTCATGCTTCATGTGTGCTACGATTGTCACTGTTTTCATACAAGGTAATGATGTTGCAGACGAAACGCCCGACCCGCCTCTCCGATAGGCCTCGGGGGTGCGTCAGGGGGGAGTTATTCATAAGGGAAAGGAATGGAGGAGGAGGAGGAGGAGGAGGAGGAGGAGGAGGAGGAGGAGGAGGAGGAGAATGAGGAGAATGAGGAGAATGAGGAGGGGGATGAGGATGGGAGGAGGAGAGAGGAGGAGGAGGAGGAGGAGGAGGAGGAGGAGGAGGAGGAGGAGGAGGGAGCAGGAGCAGGAGCAGGAGCAGGAGCAGGAGCAGGAGCAGGAGATGGAGGAGGAGGAGGAGCAGGCGAATGAGGAGGATGAGGAGAATGAGGGGGATAATGAGGAGGAGCATGAGGAGGGGGGGAGGAGGGGAGGAGGATAATGATGATGATGATGCTGATGCTGATGCTGATGCTGATGCTGATGATGATGATGATGATGATGATGATGATGATGATGATGATGATGATGATGATGATCATGATGATGATCATGATGATCATGATGATCATGATGATCATGATGATCATGATGATCATGATGATCATGATGATGACGATGACGAGGACGAGGACGACGACGATGATGAGGATGAGGATGAGGAGGATGATGAGGTGGAGGAGGAGGGACGCATGGCCAAGGCGCAGACGACGGACGGAGGAGGAGGAGGAGGAGGCGGAAGAGGCGATGGAGGACGGGGAGGGGCTGCTGGTCCACAGCATGGCCCCCCCCCCGCCCCTCTCCCTGACCGCCCGCGCAGGAGACCCCCCACACAGTCGGGAAGCGTTTTTAACCGCGCATGGCAACAATTATCGCTCCCTTCTTTTCAGCGCCCGCCCGGCCGCCGCGCCTTGTGCCGATGTCCTGGGCCATGTCGTCGGCGGACTTTCCAGACTCAAATGCAGTCCGGACAGAGAAGGTGTTCACATGGGTTCCGCGCTTCTGTCGGAGCCCCATATCGTGTATGGAACTCAGAAGGGGTCCTCGAATCGGCCTTGCCAGAAAGCCGTTGATGGAAATAAATTGACGCGAACCTGATTCGCAACGTTGGAATTTTACCATTCAAAGTCCGCGGGTTCCTGGTGGGGCACGATCAGTCGCCGCCGCCGAAAATCTACAAGATAACGCGAACCGCAAGTGCAGGGTTTTGTGCTCCCTATTGTCGTGGCCGGGACTGCATTCATTCTCGTTGTACGGCGAAATTGCCACGTTATGATTTGGTTTCGTGTTAATTTCTTACATCCACGATAGCGTGTCGCTCCGCCGGTTCTGGCCCACCACGCTTTGGCGCGACACGTCATCCATTTTCCCAGTCCCCAGTCTCCAACGTCCCGACCCGCCCCGCGGAGCGGAGCGACACGCTGTCCGCTTGCAGGGTTAGAGTATCGCCGGGGTCGCCGCCGTGACACGCTAAGCAAAAGTTCCTGGCCGTATCTTCATCCAAATGGGGTTTTCAAATAAGGGATGCCCCGAGGGGAGGGGGAGGTGCAGGGGGAGGATACGGTAGATTCGCATCGTGTTGACTGGCGGCGGCCCCGCCGCCAGCGTTCCACGTCGAACGCCGCCGTCTACGCAGACCAGGCCAGTGTTAAATGATCTGACGTTTCGGAAGCGGCCGATCATTCCAGGTTGAAGAATTTCCGCTGTGGCACGAACCAACGCCGGGGTCGCTACGATTCGAACATGCCGAAGGGGGAGGACTTAACGATACCAGGATCTCCCCTCCCCACGCGCCGCCCCCCCCCCCCTCGGCAGGCTTCACCGGAGACGCGCTCACGGACCCGCAGCGGGGCGCGGCCGTCGAGGAGTTCAAGGCCCTTGCGGACCTCCTATTTGTCAGTCTGCTCCCTTGCCTGCCCCAGCTGGGGCTGACAATGTTTCGTTGTTTTCCATTTGCTCCGCTTCCTCGTTGTCCTCGTCTCCTCGTCGTCCTCTTCCTCGTCGTCTTCCTCCTCCCCATCTTTTTGTCTTCCTCCTGCTCACTCGAATGGGAGTATGCGTGCGCGCCAGTTGCAATTATGGGTCCAGGAGTCCAGCGTGCACGCGACATCTCATGTGTAAAGGTTCTGGAAGAGACGCTACGCTTTGCTACGTCTCATTATACCATTGCCGACATGTCTTTCACCCCTGCCACCCGCAGTTCCAATTGGTAGCGGAGCTGCGGAGCTGGTGCAAGCCAGCTCTAGCACCGATGCGCGGAATTGCCCAGAGTGCGATGTGGATGCGAGTTTGCACTTTCCCACATTTTTTTGATGCCGATACCCTCCACTCCCCGGCCGGCTTGTGCCGTATGGCTGTTCTGCAATCGGTCGGGAAATGTGCCCAATGCATGTGCGCGAATAGGCGAACGTTTTTTCAGTGCCTCTTTGGGTGCACCGTCCCGTGGGACTCTAATGGCCGGGTGAATGGGAGAACCACCTTCGGAGGCAACGATGCCCCGATCCCCTCACCAAAACTATAACATCCCGGCTTTGGCAACGGAGCGCAGCCTCTTGCGATGTGATTTGTGCTGCACGAGGGGGCCAACGTCGGTGCAAACAGCGCGCATTCCGAGCGTTTCCAAGCTGGTTGGTGCACCTGTTTCACCACCCTTGGCCGCAGCCAAGGGCGGGTTTCCCGAGCTTCAAGGCGGCGTCCGTCTTTGTGCATGCCCGAGGAGGAGCCACGCCATCATGGCCGCCCTGCCCGCATCGCATCGAGACCAGCAGAGGACGCACGTCAACTGGGCGCCATGGGGGCACTTCGTCACCAACCTGATGTCGCTGATGCAGGTTTGTGCTCCGACAGTGGAACGAAACCGGCCAGACACGCATCCGGCGAGCGCTGTAGCAATCCATTTGCGGCCAGCGCGACGGCTACGCCACGCCCATGATTATCCATTCGGTTACTCGTGTCGTCCTCAACGTCAAGCACTACGGCAACTGCAAGATGCCATATTTGTTCTTCTTTCGGTTCCTCTTCTAGATGGACACCGACGGCGATTTCAGTACCGTCTACGCCGACCGTCTCCCAGGATGAGGCGTTCAGGCATGCCGCTGGCACCTGTTGCTGTCGTGCTGCGAATTGCTTGGGCGCCTTGTCAAAGACTTCCCTTGGGAACAGGGAAGTTGCCCCGCCCGCGTGCTGCGCTATGGGCGGCGCTGGCCACGACCAAATGTCAGCGCTACCCCAAGCCCGCAGTCTACTCACCCACTCGACAGGGTAGCAGTGTTGAGTGCGATTGTTAGGCAATCGAGGCATAGCTGCGCCGCTGACTTGACAACAAAAGCTGTTGCCCCATGGTCTTGTGCGTGCTGTGCGCCCTGGAGCTCGGGTGTACGACGCACGGGACATGCAGCTTCAGGCATGCTGACACGCGTGTCGAACCTTCGGCCGCAAGACTAAGGTTCTGCTTTTCGCTGTGCCATTCGGATGAAGCGCGCGGTCGCGCGGTGGCCCGTGCGCCCTCTGGCAAGTCGGCTTCGGACAAAGAAGAGAGCGCGGTTGTCTCGCCTGTGGCAGCTGTCCTATCACTGGGCCTCGCTGGCGGGGACCCCACCCGCGCATGATCGGTGCGCGGCGGTGCCGGCCTCGAGGCGCTCGACGCCCGCGCGCTCCCATTCGCTGCCTGGCGCGCCCAGGGCGCCACTTGGGCCCGGCGACGCAGCCGCGCGAACGCGGCGCGCGGCGCGTCGGCACTCCATTGCGCCGTGCTACGCGCGCTGGGGTGCTCATTATTTGCTCCGAGCAGCGCCGGTGCACGCGCGGCGCCGCGCCCCCGCACGCCCGCGCGTCTCGCAGCGCGCGCTGGGCATAGATGCGCCCAGCCGCGCGCCGGAGCGAGCGCAGAGGCAGAGGCACGACGTGCCCGCGCGCTGCCAAGCGCCGCGCTATTCGCGCCCGGGAATTGCATTGCCCAGCTGCGCGCCGCGCCTTCGCGCGCGCAGACGGGCGCATTTCCGAGCGCGCCCGCGAATGGCCAGGCTCGGCCCAAACCGCCTCTCCGAGCGCTTGCTGGCGCCGATCGGCCACGCTCGGGCCGCAATAGGTCCGCCACAAGGGATGCTGCTCACGGAGAGTCCTTATGCGGGCCAGTCAGCCGACGCGCGAGTCCAGCCCGTTCGTATTTTTGTCAGAGTGTACGTTTTTCTCGAGATGTCTACCCCAATTCACCCACTCAGCCATATCGCCGCCCCATTGAATTGGAACAGTTGAGGCGCGCGGCAGCGGGCGCGGGCAGCGCCGCCTCGCTGCGCGCCGCCGCTCAACTGTGCATTCGCATCCTGCGCGATCCGCCTTCATCGTGCAATTTGTTGCAGGCCCGCCACCTGGTTCGCCCAGCGCAATGTCACTTGCTGGGCCGCCGTCCGGCGGAAGAAGCGCCTCCGCTGTGGTCTCGCCGACCAGCGCAGCGACCCAGCGCCCCCTCGCCAAGGGCGCGCCCTGTCTGTCCGCGCCGCGCATATCGTGCCAGATGGGCCGGCGCCTGCAGAAAAATCGCTGCCCGACGATCCAGGGGGCCGAGCTCCGCGGACCCCCCCCCCTCTCCGGCGAGCCGCCAGGCCCTCGCAGAGCCGAGCAAACCGTGCTCGCCCCGTGGACGTGCGCTCGTTGTCTTGCAATTGAAGGACGCGCTCATTGAAGGGCACGTGGTCTCAGTGCACATCCAACGGAGTTGCTCGTTGCATTTGTGCTCTGGCTGAGCTGGCGCGGGTGACGTGGCGCGCGCGCGTTTGCTACTCCGTCGAATTCGCTCTCGACTTGTGATCGCCGGCGTCGCGCCCTGCGCGCTCTTCCCAGTCTTGTGCCCCCTCCCCGTGAAAGCGCAGAGCATCGCGCCCTGCCGGTTATAATCCTCGATTTGTCGTCTGTGCTGCGAAAGCGCGGCCTCTCGGCTGCGCGCCGCGCCAGTGGGCGGGCGCGCGCGGCCGACCCCCCGCGCGCGCGCCGTCGCGGTCGCGTCGCGCTGCTATAAGGGCAACTTGTCCGGCATTGGATGCGGGAGCAGCCGGCCAGTGATTGGGTCGATGACATGCAGCGGCGCGCCCGAGCACAGAAAGGGGCCCAATGTCGCAGGTCGGTCGTCGACCAGTGCGCGGCGAATCTCGAGGGCAGCCGTGGCATTCCCGCGCGAAGGCCAACGGAGATTGTTGCCGATTGCTCGGCGTTGCTCCGACCTGTTTTCTGAAATATCGGCGCGGTGGACAGCGCGGGCGCCGCTGCCCTTGCAATGGGGAGCTCGCCGCGGCCGCCCGCTGCGCCGAGGAGTTGCGCCGCGCGTTTGTCGACGCCGCGATCTCGCGGGAGGCCGCGACGCCTCGATGGAACGACGTCGATAGCAGCTCCCCCGCGACGGCCGCAAACCCGCCTCCACTCGGCAGAGCCTCGCACGGCGGTCGGTTTTCTCGGACGCGCCAATCACTTCCGAGCCACCAGCCCCTCGCGCCCACAAGCGAGACCCGCGCGAGCGCAGACACTGCGACGCGATCTCGGCCATTGGGAACGCGGGGCGCGCACGCAGGCTAACAGCAAGCGAGAACCTGGCAACGGCTACACCACTTTGCCCGGCCTTCCAGTTGGCCCACAGGCAGCGACGCCCCTGCGCCTTCGGGCCCGTGGAAGGCGGGGACCCCCCGAGCTCATCGAGCTGCGGGCGGCCGGCGCGGTACATGGCAGCTCTAGGAACGAGGGGCATTGAACCGCTCGCCAGTCTGAAGGCTGCCATGGCGGCCGAGATTGCCGACGATCGGCCGCAGGCAGAGCCCCGCAGGGCCCCCGTGCCTAAGGCGCGGGCAGCGAGCGCGGGCACGCCAGCCGACTATGTCGGGGCTGCTGCATCATCTCGCGACCCACCTGCCGAGGGCGCCAAGCGGCCGCGCTCTGCGACGCCCGAGGGCCGCTCAACGGCAGCGAGGACGGCGGACGACGTAGCGGGCAAGGGGAAGGACAACGAAAGCAGCGGCAAGGGATCAAAGAGGCCAAGCAGCCGAGCGCCAGAATTCAACCAGGACCCAGGCTGCGCCGAGCTCAGAACCCAACGCAGTGGGACACGCCCCGCAGTGCGGGGGGATCCTCTTCGAGTTCCATGCTTTCTGCGCGGCCTCCTGCGGCCTGTGACTATCGGCGTCGGGGTGCCCCGTGGCGCGCCGGAGCAGATGCAGCGCGGCGTAGGGCAGATGGGGACCGGGCGTCTCGACCCTGGCGCGCGTGCGCCGACACGGAGCAGCAGACTGCGGATTCTTCCACCCCGCGGCAGGGAGGTGCCGTGAATTGGTGGTCATCGTGGACATGGGGCTCGGACAGCCGGCGCAATGACAGCTGGGGACCACGTGATCATAGCTTAAGGTGAGGGGAAGAGAACGGGGGGGGCATGCGGCTATGCCGACAGTGCCCCCTTGAGATTGATGTTTGCGACTCAAATGCGTGCGCCCAGAAGGAGTGGGTTGAGTCGCCGCGGCGCAGAGGTGCCATGCGCCCGCGTCTTTTACATGGCGAGCCATACAGTGGGATAACTGTCTGCCGGGCGCTGCGCGCCAGGACGCTCGCGTTAAAATTCGGGGCGAAACCTACATCGGGTTCGCCCGCCCGCGCGAGCGGATTGATTCAGTCATCCCCTCGTGCCCATTTCTGACCCGCATGATTGCGGCCTGCCCGCCCAGCGCGCGCGGCCTCCCAGGCGCC